GCCCAGACAACCCTCTACAGCTGGGGCATCTCTGGTCCCCAGACTAAAATTAGTATGATTTAGTTTAGAGGGTCACAGTCATATTTCTGTACTCTCTGGGTATAACATAAAAAGCATGGATCTCTGAACTTGGAACAATTCTAAGTTTCAATGTTCTTTTAAGAATGTTTCTTGTTTTGATTTTTCTCTCCATGGTTTATGCTCTCCTTCAATTATTGAGCCTTGTCCAGCCCCAGTCCCAGAACAGAGAGAAGGGAAAGCTACAGGCAGAGAAAATCATGAGAGTCCAACAGCAATCTTCAAATATAAAAATATAAACCAAGAAAGAGGCACCTATAATTTTCTTCTGGTGCTACTGTAATCTTCAAATGAAGATTTTTAGGAAGTTTGACAAATATTTACCAGGTGAAGTTTATGATAGTTTGTGAAATAATCTATGTCATTTATGTGGAAAATTTTGTGGCTGGCTTTCCTCACAACTCCCACCTCCTTTTACTCCAGTAGAATTCTCCTCTCCTGTAATAATCTTAAATGGCCCTCGTGCACAGCAATAAACACATACCTGCCTATTAAAGTTAGGGAGGTTAACTTTCCCTCTCAAATTTGCTTTACAATGAAAAAAACAAACTGACAAGTGAACTAGCTTCCAGGAGTTTGGAAGTGGCTCTGGTTAGGTAACGTTAAAAGCAGCTTTATTGAAAAACTCTAATTTATATATATTTATACCCATGTCAGGTGGCACTGGAGCCATTGTAGTTCAGGGTTGGATGCTCAGCTTTGATGGCTTAGAAACTATTTTTTTTTTAAAAATATATATCTTTATTGATTTCAGAGAGAGGAAAGGAGAAGGAGAGAGAGAGATAGAACATCAGTGATGAGAAAGTCACTGATCGGCTGCCTAGCCCGCAACCCAGGTATATGCCCTGACCGAGAATCGAACCCTGATCTCCTGGATCCTAGGTTGATGCTCAACCACTGAGCCACACCCTGTCGGGCGAAACTATTTTTTTTTAAATATGATTTTATTGATTCAGAGAGAGGAAGGGAAAGGGAGAGAGAGAGATAGAAACATCAATGATGGGAGTCATTGATTGGCTGCCTCCTGCATGCCCCCTTCTGGGGATTGAGCCCACAACCCAGGCATGTGCCCTGACCAGGAATCGAACCAGTGATCTCCTGGATCAGAGGTAGGTGCTAGACCTCTAAGCCACGCCTGCCGGGCTTAGAAACTAATTTTTGTCAGGCTTCAGCACTAGAAGAATGTCATGCTAACCAACTCATGAGCCTGATGTGGAAACAGAACTAATCAGTGATCAACCTCCAGTGAGAAACTAGGCAGCAAGGAAACTGGAACGCATGTGGACATCTGTTTGCTGACTTTAGAATCACACACACATAAAAGTTTTGTGGGGTGCTTCTGACAACCCTGAAGGACATTAGCAACTCCCACTGTTTCCTGAGTGCCCAGTGCCAGTCAGTCATTGAGAGCAGTCCTGTGAGGGAGCTATTATTGTTCCATTTTTGTGTTTATCAGGGAACTTCTGCTTAGTGACACAGTCAGTGATACCTTACTTCAAATCCAGTTCCCTCAAAACTCTTGTATCTAATTACTGAGTTCCTGTCCTTAACCACCTTATTTAGTTTTATGATTTTATTAAGAGGGGCCTGGGAAATCCAAGGAGATTCTTCAGGAGTACTGTCAGGTAGGAGAGCAAAGCATAAGATTCCCTTTGAAAACAGGGTTCCCATATTCCAGTGTTTGAAAATCACGTAGTATGCTGTTTATGCCATCCCTAATATGCATGTGTGTGTATATTTCTGTATGAGTATATATATCTTTATTGTATATGTGTATAGATTAGGAGTGGAGTGCATTAGCATAGTGTACATTATATATATAGTGTATGGTGTCTAGCATTATTAGATACCAGCTCACTACATGAAGCTTTACTCATATTCACTTGCCAAGACCCCTACAAGGTAGGTATCTTCCCTGTTGGATCCTTAAGGACAAAGAGAGGTTAGGTACGGTGGCTGAGGTTGCACAGCTGCCGTCCCTGTCAGTTCCCCTTCAGAACCTGAGCCCTTCCATGGTACCGCTGTTCTAATGGTCTGTCTTACCTGTCTCCAGAATTGCTAATGACCCTTCACTGCGTAACCTATAGTAAACATTTTGCTATTCATATCCTGGGATGGCCAGCTTTTGAACTAGATAGTTTCTTTCTTTAGGGCAGTTGGTTAATTTACAGCTTTCTTATTTGCATTCTTGTCTGAAGCCATGTCCCACCGCCTTGTTTAGAACTAGATGACCCAATATCTCCTCAGCATCATCTCTCTGGAGGTGACATGTGTGATTATGACATTCCCAGAGTGGGTGAAGTTGCCTGATTTCACCTCTAGGAGAAATCAACCTTCTTCTCTGGTGCTGCTTCTTACTGGTGTTCCTCCCAGGGAAGATGTGACTGGGTCTTGATTCCTTCTCATGGCAGCTTTTGATAGTTATTTTCAGTCTTCTTGTGGAAACTGGTCAAATGAAAGTGAATGCCTGGGTGCAGACATCAGATGTCCAGACTTGAGAAAACTTTCAGCCATCTCCTGGCTTCCTTGCATCTTTAGGTGGTGACTGCCCAACTCTGACCTCTATAATTTTCATGCTATTCTAAATGCTAATTTCCCTCCATGTGTGATTCTTCAAAATGGAATCTGGGCCTCTAAAAATATTCTTACAACTCTTCTTAATTCTGGAATTTAAAAAAAAAAACAAGTTTCAATTTTCATCTAAACTGAAAACAACAACAAAACACACACACAAAAAGTAAGTAATACTATTGCCTTCACTGATTTTTAGTTCATATTGTTCAGACCCGGTTTGTAGTGGATCACAAAAGCTTGTCTAGGAGATATCTTCTCATGGATTTCTTGAAATGTCTACTTTTCTACATTTCTGCTGCCCCGGTCTCTCATCATATATCTACAAATAAGTTTATACTTTGTAATAATTATTTTTTAATCAGTTTGGAAGGTTGGTTTTCCTTTCTGGTAGAAAATGAATTATTGAATTGGAGCAAGCATCCCCTGTGCTCTAAAGTAGCAATACATCTAAATGGAACTTTTAATTTAACCAGTAACACAGAGCTAACTTGCGTTGTAGTAAAGAGCTAAAATAGGATACACTAATACACTAACAGGTTATACTGATTTTATTTAAAATATAAGTAATTTTACTAATGTCTGAGTGGGTATGGAAAGCCTCAAGTTGTTTTGAAAAGATAGCTATTTTCTGGTGGTGAGTTTTCACTCTTCCTACATGTAAATTTTGAAAACTGAATTTTTATTTTACTTCACCAAAAGTGGCATCTGAATAACAAGAAGCCCCATTACTTAGTTCAAAATGAGAAAAGAATAACTAAGAGCATGAAGGAAAATCTCCCTCCATATTTGAGCCTCTTTTATTTTCTACTGAGAGCAAATTCATTATCTGATCTTTGGTTTCATTTATTTCAGTGCCTGTGCTGTGCACTTGGTGGAGCTGGCTTCTTCCAAGATTGTATTCTGACAGGGTGATAGGGGCCAGGGCCCAGCCGTCAATATACGCTTGCTTTGAGAGGTGTGATGAGAAAATATGTTTCGCCTCCCTTTCATTTTACACTTAAAGCCAGTGGCATAAGAGGAATTTGCTGTTCTCAGTAGATCTGTCTCTATCTTGGCTTCTCCTTTTTGTGGCCATGCCCTCTGTCAGTGAGAAAATGGAGAGTGCAAGTGTTTAGCCTGTTGTGGCCAGTTCACTGGATTATCCACACAAAATGTTTTCTATTGAAGAAGGAACAAGGCAGTGAGGGGTGTTGCGCAGTCTGGCCATTCTAGAAATGCCTGTTGTAGAGGCTTTGGGGATGGCTGTGGGGGAGGACCAGAAGAGAATTGGGGTATGGTTGCAACCAGGTGTGTTTAAAAATTTATTTTCATCAGTCCAAGTGTGCAGTCTACTTTAGCTCACTATAACCAAAGCATGAGCTTGATCAAAACCTCACTCTTTTCCAACTTTCCAACCCCAGGAGCACTTAATTACTGACCACTGAATGTGGCTAATCAGAATTTCATGTGAAAAATGAGTGTGAGAAGAAGCTGACTCTCATTGCTGCCTTTCAGAGAGGAGGAGTTGCCTTCAACAAAGTGAAATCCAGATCTGTAAAACTGGTTTTATTCATCCTGCAAGACTTAGCAGTAAAGCTCGAGCAGAGATATATGGAGTGTCTGATTTCACATTTTTTACAGACTTTTGCAATTAGTCACTTTTCTTATTTGTGGGCTTCTCTGCCATGTGCATGCTCAGACTTCATCTAGACAAATTCGCTTTCTTCTCTTTTCTTTCTTTTTAATGCAACACCATGATGGTGAGAGGTAAGTTTTCAATGGTGAAATTAGTGTTTGTGTCAAATTGAAAAAATGATCTCAGAACTTACTTTAAGCTCAGATGCCTGTTGTTTAGAATTTCTTTTTCTTTTTTTTTTAAAAAATATATCTTTATTGATTTCAGAGAGAGGAAGGAAGAGGGAGAGAGATAGAAACATCAATGATGAGAGAGTCATTGATTGGCTGCCTCCTGCACGCCCCCAACTGGGGATCGAGCCCACAACCCGGCATGCGCCCTGACTGGGAATTGAACCATGATTTCCTGGATCCTAGGCTGACACTCAACTGCTGAGCCACGCCTGGCCGGGCTGTTGTTTAGAATTTCTTCTCATCAGGAAAGCCAAAGGCAGACCTTTATTTGTCTATATTCATAGTGTCATAAAATTTCTCAAAGGTCAATTTTCTTTGCCCAAATAATTGTATAGTAGTGTTCTACCTGCATTATATGATTTTAAGATAATAGAAATATATATGCCTTACTGATATATATACCTTGAATTCACTTAAAATCTTGTTTTCTTTCATAGACAGAGGCTGTGGAGACACTTGTTTCATGCATATTTCTTGTATCTGATTTTCTTTTTACCTAGGCCTTCTGCCTTATCTAGTAGCCCAACATATTCGGACTTGCCCTTCATTAGGATCTCCCCACACCGGAACCCTACTGCAGCTTCGGAGTCCCCCTTCAGCCCTCCACATCCCTACATCAACCCTTACATGGACTACATCCGGTCTCTGCACAGCAGCCCGTCCCTCTCCATGATCTCTGCAGCCCGGGGACTGAGCCCCACAGATGGTAAGTCTCAGACCAACTCATTCTGCTTCCACACATCATGCCACCTTTTCCTTCTGCCTCACCTGGGGCATAGTGTTGGGTAGCTTGGTTTATTGGGTGTTTCCCACATGCCAGACACTGTGCTAAATGCTTTAAGTGCATGCTTTCATTTCAACATAGAGACATCCCCATGATGGTGGGGTTATTATCTCCATTTACAGGTAAAGATATCAGTATGCAGAGGGACTAAATAATTTGCAGCCTGGTCCTTTGGCTAGTAAGCAGCAGAGGTGGAAATCAAAGCCAGATCTCATTGACTGCAAAATCCTTGTTCTTATCCACTGTTCTGTTCTACATCTTCACAAAAGTTTAGACTGGCCCTGTAAGTGTTCTCACAGTGTGCATGTGTAACTAGAGCCTTTTGCTCACTGTCTGATGTATACTTTTCTGTTCTGTATGTGTGAAAGGCACATTTATACAGACAAGTCTATTAGAGCAGCTCTTCTCAAACTCCAATGTGCATATGAATCACCTGGGGAAGGTGATAAAATGTGATTCTTTGTGGGATGGGTCCAGAAGGGGCCTGAGATTCTGCACGTCTGAAAAAGCTCTCAGGTGATGTCAATACTGCTGGTTGGTGGACCACACTCTGAATAGCAAGGTCTTAGAGAACTTGATGCTTCAAAACTGTTGCTGCATGTGCCCTCTATCCTTGATTGTGCCAAACAAAAACTGGAAGATGGATGTGGTGGGAAAAGAAAAGAACTTTGACCTTAATTCAGTAAATACCTGATGCTCATTTTAGGCTCTCAAGGATCAAATTCTGGTTGGTTCTATTAGCCTTCCAGTTAATTACTTTGACATGACTTTTTAATTAGAGTTATGTATTCTGCAACTGTCAAGTTCTAAACGATTCCTATGATTCAGGAAGAACATTTTCCATCACATATGCACATATACAAACTCAGTTGCCCACAATTGCCAGAACCTGAATTAAGGTCTAGAATTGCATAAGCCTTAATAATTGCAGGTAGTAGGTTGTGAGTTCTCTGCAGCAGGTCACAAATCACTGGTGCTTGCTTGAGAGCAGAGAAAAACACCATGCACTCTGTCTCACTGAGCAATGTTTAAAGTGACCCTGCACTGTCCCATTCTCCATGCAGACCATTTTTCCAGGCTTGTTCTGAGTAGTGGGAATAGTATGTAGGAAAGCCACATGAGGTTGCTCAGTAAACATCTACTCAGTTTTACTTCCAGGACTAGCAGTGCTACAGGAACAGCAGTCAGATTGTTGTAAGGCACCTAAAGAGAATAAGTTTTGCCATTTGAACAAGATTCCAATTTTCCCCCCCAGTTTTATTGACATATAATTGACAGGCGTTCTCTAAGTTTAAGGTGTATAGCATCGTGACTTACATATATTGTGAAATGATTACCACAGTAAGTTTTGTTAATATCCGTTATCTCATATAGATACTAAAAGGAAAAATAAAAAAAATCTTTTTTCCCTTTGATGAGAAATTTTAGGATTTACTCTCTTAGCAACTTTCAAATATACCATATTGCAGTGTTACCTATGTTCATCATATTGTACATTACATCTCTAGTTCTTATTTATTTTATAACTGGAAGTTTGTAAAATTCACATTTTAAAAATAAAACTATCAGAGAGTCAAATGTGAGTTAGTTCTTCTGGTTGGGATTTGGTTTTACAATGGGAAAAATGGAGAGCCTCCTCCATGGAGTACTTGGAAGTTTTTAGAAATGACTCTCAAGGAGAACAGAGGGGAAAGAAGGATAAGGGAGATCAGCAAACAGTGGACTTGAAATTGTGCCTGTCTCGCGGAAATTTAGTTGAACCACTAGAAAGGTGGACCTCTAGTTAAAGCATCTTATCCTTTGCTACCCATAGTATTTCACGATGAGTGTGAATGAGACATTTTTGATTGGTTGTTGTACCTACCTCTTTCTGCCTCAAGAGTCCGATAATATCTAATCAAATAAAGTCAAGTTACTAATACTACTTTCTTGTGGTCTAAGAGTTTTTAATTTATATCTCTGTCTTTATCATGTATAAAATGTCTGTGGGCACAAATATAAAACAAAGCTATTACTAGAATGCCAGTTTTTCTACATAAAAATTGCAAAACTAACTTTTATTGATGGAATGCTATATGCTAATAAGCACTTTACATGCATCATTGCATTCATGCTCCCAACAACCTCATGGAGCAGTAAGAGGTGGAGCTCGCATTTGTACCTAGATCTTCACCAATTTAGAGACCACCCTCAGAACTTCTGCAGTAGCCTGCCAGTGTTTGCACATAAATTGGCAGGTGGAAACCGATTATTATCCCACTCTCATAGAACTGACTCTTGCCAGTAAATTGCTCCAGATTGGTAGGTATATTTTCTTTTTGATTTTGTAATGAAAAAAGAGCTTTTAAATTATGGAACACAAAATTGCAGCTTATCACCCAGTCCTGTGTTATTAAAGCTGTGCTACTTTTTCCACGTATAAACTTTGGGTCCTCCAGGTAGTGAGAGCTTATTCAGATACTCCTGTCAGAAAGCTTAGAGAAGTATGTTAAATATGTCTGTAAAGAAATCATAGTTCTCTAAGTTGTCAACTACTGTAAGGAATATGAACATATGTGATTTTATATAAGAAGTAATTTTATTTTGTAAGGCAGAGATGGGAATGAGTTATGTACATACATTTTAAGAATTTTAAATTCTTGGTGATTTCTTTAAACCCTGGGGGTACAAAAAATAATTTTCTCCTACCTTCTAGGTTCTTTCTGCTAGCTAATAATTAATACGAGACAGATTAACAGGAGAAAATGCCCCAAATTTATTATGGATGTACAAGTAAGGGTACCATAAAAGTATGAAACCTGAAGATACAATTGAGGTTTAAATGCCATTCTAGACAAAGGAGAGAGGGGCAGGAGTCTGGAGTTTCAAAGGGACAGTAGGCAACTTATAGGTGGATGAGAAAGCAAATGTGGTAAACAAATTTTTGCTGGACAGAGGGATGTCCAAAAAACAGGTTTTTTTAGATTTCACTGTCTGCCACACTTAGTTTATATTATGATGCTAAATGATGCTCCCTTCTTTTTTTTTAATTTTCAATTACAGTTGACATTCAACATTATTTTATATTAGTTTCAGATATACAGCATGGTGGTCAGGCAATTTACAAAGTGATCCCCCAATAATTCTGGTACCCATATACTCCTTTCTTTTAAGTAGGTTTTTCTGTCTGAATTCCTTTAGGCACGTAAGGAAGAAGGTCAGAGGTTCTTTCTGAGTCTTTCATTTCTTAAAATCAATACCCCAAAATATGTATTTTGGTCCCTTCAAAACTAACCTCAAATATTTTATAATGTATTTTATTTTCTCTGTTTTTTCCCTTCAGTTTTATTTTCAAATAAAAGATATCTGGTAGACTTAAGTGAAAACACAATTTGAATTAAAGGAATTTTACTAGAATGATGTGGGCTGCATAACAAATGGACTGTTGATCTTCTTTCAACAAGTAACCATACTTTTCTTGTCTTCTCTTCTAGCGCCCCATGCTGGAGTCAGCCCAGCAGAATACTATCATCAGATGGCTCTGTTAGCTGGCCAGCGCAGTCCCTACACAGACATCATTCCCTCAGCTGCCACCACTGGAGCAGGGGCCATCCACATGGAATATCTTCATGCCATGGATAGTAAGTGATGGGCCATTTTCTGTAGGGGTGGCAAATGCTAACTCTTAAACTGGAGAGTAAGATACAGAGAATAGGCAGTTGTCTAACTTTACAAACCAGAGAAAGAGGAGGAACCACCAATACTTGGTGCTCTGGTTCTGTTGGTTTTCTAGGAAGCTGCCACAGATTTGGCCATCCCGGGACTCCCTGTTTAGCTCAGGAACAAAATGGAAGGTGCCAGGCAATTGTAATTTGGCAGCTGTCCAAAAAACTGCTCTGCCTTGATTGTCTTGATAACAAAATAAGGAAATATGTTTGATTACATGAATGTACTTTGCCTAGTCATTCCTTGGTTTTACAGATTTTATGCCTTAATTAATTTTTAAAAAGACCTGTACTTGGTTTGACATTTTTTTCATTTAATTTCATTTGCCTCATATGTTTTCTTTTCATTAAAACTTATATTTCACTAAGACCTTTTATATAGGAAAAATAAAAAGCATTTCCAAATTAGAAGGCTAGTTTTGGTCCATAGCAGTAGAAGAAAATGGGATCATTTGACGCATTTTATATTAGTTATTTTTGGATCTTATGATGATTCCTTTGGGTTACTTAATCAAGACATACACAAATGAGGCTATGATTATCACTTTTCAGAACATTTAAGAGTTCTCAGTAATGCAGATTCTTTGAGTCCACATCCATTTGTTAAGTGCCAGGAAGTGACTTAGAAGCATGATCCAAGGGGTACATCAATGAAAGCCACTATCCTTTGAATATGACAATAATGACTTTGAGTAGGCAATATGATTGAGACTTTGTTTCTTTTTCCTAGTAGCAGTGATTAAATTGTGCTTTTCCATCACAGTCTATTTGTATTCTTTTGTGAAAAGGGTACACATTTATCAACTCTCTGGCGCTAATTAGTAATTCAGACCTTAGGTCTGGAAAAGGTTCACTCAGGGTAAAATCTATAGCTTAGTCTTACTGTCATAAACTAACTTAGCTATATTACATAGGAACATAACCTTGTGCAGGTTTCCTTTGGGGAGTTTATTACCACATACAAAATGAAAGAAATGCATTACATGTTTTGTAGGGCCTTTGTTCTGCTCTGTGGAGGAGATAACTTAAATTTCCGATGTATCATAACAACTTTTCAATTAGGGATTGTTGAAAAAAAAAAAAGGTTGGTGTTATTATGCAAATTAGTTATTTAAAATCTGCAAATAATTAAAATAAGACAGAATCCTTGGAAGGTCAGCCCATATTACCTTCCTTATTTGATGAGAATATGTTTAGTCAGGCAGTGGTGGCTTTTATCTAATAAAGGATGAAGCTACCCTTTTACTTTGTAAAAACTAATTAAGGAATTTTAATTTGCCTAAGTATATGGTAAATTGATTGTCATTAAGTAGGAATTTAGATGCCCTATCATTCATCACATAAAGGGAAACTTCCTTTTTCTTTGTCAGAATTTTTTATTAGACTGGAGAAACAAAACAGTTAACAGAAAGCCAAATTGAAGATATCTGTGTTGGAATAATAAAAATGCTTGAGCTTACATTTAAGAAGGAAATGGTTTGATCAGTGAAGACCTGGGCCACTTCTCTTTTAGCTGTTTTGAAAATGCTCACCTTGTCTCCTCTTCCCTTCAACAGAGGATCCCCAAATCACTGTCTCACAATGCTGACTTTATCTTTCTTTGCTTGGTTATTAGGGGATTGGGAAAAGCATAATGAAAGGGTTAGAGAGTGCATAAAGTACTATATTCTTTCTCTCTAAAATACTTGAAATAGCATTTGGTTAAACAGCATAAGAAGTGTATCCAGGATTTAGGCGACTTTTCCCATAGAGAAGTGAAAGAATTTAAAATTTTTGCATTAAATGCACACATGCAGTAGCAGAGCCAAACTGGGATTTAGCTGTTCATTTAGACCCATTGTCACAGATCTGGACTCTTCAGTTGGCAAAAATCACAATAGACTGGTTTCAGATGAGCACCTGATTTTTATTTTTTTACTTTATTTTTATTTTTTTATTTATTTAAAATTTTATTTTTGTTTAAAATATTACAGATGTCCCTTTTACTCCCCAATGACCCATTCCACTCCATCCCATCCCCCTCCCCAGTCCCTCTCCCCACCATTTTCTTTGTCCTTGGGTTGTGCATATATGCATATAAATTCTTTGATTACTCTCTCCCTCTCCACCCACCCACCCTCCTCCATCCTTCTGACATTCTTCAGTCTGATCTATGCTTCATGTCATTGAATCTGTTCTGTTCATCAGTTTATTAAGTTATTTGGATTCTACATATAAGCGAGATCCATGTGATGTTTGTCTTTCTCTGCCTGGCTTATTTCACTTAGCATAATATTCTCCAGGTCCATCCATACTGTCCCAAAGGGTACGAGAGTCTTCTTTACAGCTACATAGTATTCCATGCTGTGTATGTCCCACAGCTTTTTTATGCACTCATCTACTGATGGGCACTTGGGCTGTTTCCAGATCTTAGCTATTGTAAGCTGTAGATGAGCACCTGATTTTTAAATGTGCCAACAATGGGTGTATCTGGGTTCCAGCCAGCTTCAGGATAGAGTATTTCTGTGTTGCATGTTAGAATGAATTCTGTTTTATGGCTCTAATTCTGTCTTTTGGTATTCCAGTGACCCTAAAAGACAGGAGAGCAAGTAACATCCCTATAAGGACCATGCTAGAGGTGATACCTGAAAAACAACACTGTTTATATTGGTGAAAACTGACTTACATAAGTGCTCATCCTGGACTGAAAAACAGAGGAGCTGAACCAGACAGGCCAAGAGCGACTCTAGGGTCTGGAGGGATGAAGTCAGGCCCCTGTGTCTGTCTTTGGAAGGTGTGAGGGGAATATAAGTTCACTAGTGTTTTATAGCATCAGATGGCCTCCTTAGCTAGTTAGTGATTTAAATAATTAAAGGTGTTCCAGGGATCAGCTCTTTCTAGAATGTCCTGTTACTTCTAACTCTGCCATTGATCCCTGAGTCCCAGTGAGTGCCATTGAGAAGGGTTATCATTGAGGATTAGATGGAAGTTGACCATAAGTCCAGTTTGTCCTTGGAGACTTTTGGAAATGGAATGTATTTCTTCACTGAAAAACTTTTATGATGAAATTAGCCTCTCATAGTGAATGTCAAACATTTATGTCTAAAGCAGATGCTATAATAAAACTAGAAGATGTATACATAGTTGAGATTGCTGTTTTTGTACTAACATGCCCTAAATCAGGTAATGAAATTATTCTAAATGAAGAAAATCAATTTTAAATGTGCCTAAAAGAAAAATTTGGGTAGGCACCACATTTGCCATTCAAATTGGTTTTCCAGTTTTATACCAAAAAACTAAGTTCCAATTTGTGATTTCTTTTTTTATTTACTATAAAATATATCTCTATTCCTATAATATTATCATTAGAGTCTTTATATTCATCTATTCTATTTTATTACATTAAGGCATGCTGGATTGTGATCTTATATCAAGGTCCATCTCTGATGAAGAAAATATTCCCAATGGAGACCAAGTGCCTAGACTTTTTCATATAAATAAGACTTACCTTTTACTTTAGTTTTCTGGGTACCATAAAATTGCCATGTCTAACCAGGTAGGCTCATGCCATGATATAGACAACCTCCATTATTACTTCAAAGTAATCATGTTTTATTTGCCAGTATCTACTAGGATTATGTTTTCATTCTTTCATTAAACTTTATTTTGATGACATTGTAATGAAAATGAACATTAGAAAAGGCAGGAGTAGGAATGTGGCCTCTGGGCCACATTCATAGCTATGCCCTGAAATTCAAATTTCTAATATCTACCAAGTTGAAGGCAAATGGCCTTTATTTTTTAATTCTCCAGTTAAGAAGTGTTAATACAAGTTGGCATGCCTTTAAGTTTTGAGTTGTTAACCTCCAGGTTAGAACTTCATTGGTGGAATCTTCTTGAAGGTGAAAAATTCTAATAAATGTAGATAATTAATTAATAAGTCCAGAGAATTAACATAGACTCATCAAATCTCATTTTAATGCTTGCAGGGGTGTTTTTTTCTCCCCACCTTGGAAAATTTATAAACAAACTACATCCTAAGATTTTAAATGTTTCTTAGGACTTATGTTATTGTTAGGCTGTGGAGAATTTAAGGCAAGGTCCCTCAATTTTAGCACTCTTGAGTCCAGGTAGTTCTTGGGGTTAGGGGTTGTTTCACATTGCAGGGTATTCAGCAGCATCTCTGCCTCTCCCCACTAGATATAAGTAGCACCTGGTGGGTTATGATGACCAAAATGTCTCTAGATGTTCATATGACCCCTGGGGAAAATATCACCCCCCAACTGAGAACCATTAATTTGGGTAATGTATTTAGCAGTTGTTTTAATAAAGCTTTAAGTATAAAATGAATCAGATAACTACAGAAATTGTGGGGAAAGGAGTGTATAACCAAGCTGAATTTTTTATCTTAGGATACTTTAACTCATTTTTCCTTTGGCTCATTGCCATAAAGTGGTACCTGTTGGGAGGGTGGTGTGTTGTGTAACTGTAGGAACCACTGTCTTTGTTGCTTGTGGTGAATTAATGATGGGAATATCTAAGCAGCCATCAGATTCATAAATCACTAGAAATGAGAGGGATAACACATAAAAGTCTTTCCCTTTTGTTTAGCAATTTATCATTTTGCCTGCACATTAATAAACAGAGATCCCCTGAGGTAAGCCCTTGGAAGATAAATATTTCTCCCTAATTTCCTCTATTGTAGCCAGTAGATCACAAGTGGGAGGAGAGGTACTTGTCATCGGAAGTTGCCACTTTTTATCCTTCATTTCTTCCACACAGGCAAGTAACAGTAAATAACAGCTACCACAGGTAATCAGGTTCTGCTTTGTTTATTAACAGGCACCAGATTCCCCAGCCCAAGGCTGTCAGCTAGGCCAAACCGAAAACGTACACTGTCTACATCACCACTGTCCGATCATAGCTTTGACCTTCAGACCATGATAAGGACGTCTCCCAACTCCTTGGTCACAATTCTCAATAATTCCCGCAGCAGCTCTTCAGCAAGTGGCTCCTATGGTCACTTATCTGCAAGTGCAATCAGGTATGTATTTTCTCAAAGCTGTTTTGTGTTTCTTTAAATAAAACATCAGCTCTGGACTGCACCTGGATTTGCAGTACTGAGTACCTATGAAGAAGAATACAGCAACATGAACTAGGCCTGACCCAGGATGCAGAACAAATATCACTACACTGAATTCCAGATCCAGTTATTGGGCCCAAAATAATTTTTTTGCAGACTTTAGTCAGTAGCCCATATAGAGAAATAGTAGTTATTCAGTTATGATGAAATTCACTTCGTAGAGACAGTGAGTATGGCAAATCTTTTTATCCCAGTTCCTCTTACTGATTATAGTTCTTTAGAGGAAAAATTGACTTCATACCTGGTTGTGCATCACAAGCAAGAACAAGAGCCAAAATAAAAAGATCAGGCATGGCATAATTCACACTTGTTACTACTGGGGAAAGGCATGCACTGGGAGAAAGAAAGAAAAGGTGACATCAGGGTCTTCAGTCTAATGGAAGATAAGTGTGGATGACATAGGAAGGCATATCTATCACAAGAAATCCAGGAAAAAAAGTTTTAGCTATAGTAATATACCATATTTACTAGAAATGATAAATATTATTATTTCTTCCAGAATGTTCTCAATTACAGTTTTAATTCCTTTCTTGTTCAGTTATCAGCAATGCTTCTTGGCAGGCAAATTAGTGTTTAAATATTGTAAATCCCCATTTTGATATGATTCATTTTCTGCAGTGTTTCTTTGTTCTTTTAATACGGTCATTAAAATGTGGAAACTTAGAGCAAACCAAATAACGCTGCTTACTTGATAGCAGTCAGTAGATAGAAAGGGGTCCTAAATGTTTTCAGGATTAACCACTATAGTCAAAAATGTAGCTTTGGAGTTGGGGATGCCTGTAGTCAGATTTCATCTTTGTCACCAACCAACTGTGGAAACCTGGCTTGCTGGTCAGCTCTCTGAAGTTGTCTTCACACTTGTAAACTAAAGACAAGACACCCATTGTATGGGAAGGAGGCACATTTAATTAAAACTGGCGTGGATCTACAATTCCAGGATGAAGATCCCCTACCAATGGGCAAAGCCTCAGGGGAACTGACCCTGGATGGTCTCTTCAGGAGATGAGCTATCATGGCCTGGCTGTGCTACCTCTGTGATCATCCCAGTTTGGCTATGAGATAGTATTCCCATCTCAAAATTGTGACCTGGTTGTTCTGCACTCTTGGCTGATAATCCAGGGTCATAGATTGCCAGTGACCATATAATTATCATGTGGCTTGCCTAGAAGTCATAGTATCAAAGTAGTAGAAATGTGGCTCATGTGATATTCACATAGAATCACTCTGAGCACTCATTTCTCTTGTTGCTTGTTAATTTTTCTCCTCCTTGCTCTCTGCCCAGCTATCTTGACTGTTTACAGCATCTAAAGGACTTAGATTAAAATGTGGTGTGCAAATGGCACAGTGTTGTCTTTATTCTTACCCCAGAATCTCACTTGATCTCCTTACCTTTGCCCAGGTAATCTAGTCCTAGTACTTGAAAGACCATCAGTACACTGAGTTGAAATTATCATTGTCCCCTCCCTCCAAGGACTACAGCAGACCTCGTTATTGTCATTAGAGCTGGAAGAAGAAATCCTGTGGACCTTGTTATAGTCAGGAGACCTGGGCCATCACACACTCCTGTCCTTTTCTGCCTTCAGCTCCTTTCCATTCTGTCCTTTCTCTTGCATTGTGACCTCTCATTCATTAGTACACATCTACTGTGTGTTAGGTTAAGATGTAGCTTTTAATGCATATAAGGTAATACATATAACCCAGGATGAGGTAAGCTTGCCATATAATACAATAAATAGAGTAATTGTCATCGGCACTGCTTGCCTGTCCTTTCGCGGGAGAAATGTTAGTGCTTTGCTTTCCCTGATATGAGTTTCATTTTGTGAAATCTAAAAACTGACCTGAGGAATAACTGGTAAGTAGTAGGAACGGTGGATGACAGGGAAAGAGAGGAAACGTGAAGAAATCTAAAAAGGGTAGCTAATTTTCTCAAGAGTGAAAGATACAAGAGCAAATGTAGTCAGGATCTATTTAAGCTCTGCTACATACCAAATAACATGGTAGGCGCTAGACATACTTACTGTTTTTGTCTCACAGTGATTTTGGAAAGCATAGTGTTATTCTTTTTCTTGTTCCCAACATCAACACAGTGGGTCTTTGCAAGGGGAAGTTGACAAAGGTCATGCCTGGTGGGCATCAGTGCCAGCACTCTAATCCCTTGCATTTTAATGTACCCCAAACACATTTGCCTTTTATATATATATATATATATATATTTTTTTTTTCCTAATACTTAGTCTGCTTCCAGTAATACCAGTGCATAGAGTAATGATGTCAGGTAAATTAATGTCTAAAGATGTTAATATATGTTTAAAGACACACATTCAGTTTTCTAGAAAAGGCGTAGTCATTTCCTTCACATTTGTGTCCCAGTTCAAATGTTACTCTCCAAGAGGCTGATAATACCATTTACCACTATTTGAAATTCCCATGTTTACTTGCTTATTGTGTAACTTACTATATGTTTCCTCCTCTAGAACAGTGTCAGAAGGCTGAGGGCTGTGTATGTCAAGTTCATGGCTGCAGCCCCCACCCCACAAAATCTGCACTGTCACCTTGACACATGACTCAACAAATATTTCTTTTTTTATATATTTAACTTTTTTCATCACCATTTATCCCCTCTATGCCCTCTTCCACGTCCACCCATCCCCTCCACCCTTGCAATCACCACACTGTTGTCCATGTCCATGAGTTCTCTCTCTCTTTTTTTCTTTTTTGCTCAATCCCTCCATCCCTCAACCTCCCCTCCCCCAGAGCTGTCTGCCTGCTCTCTGTCTTTGAGTCTGTCTCTATTTTGCATAGTAGTTCAGTTTATTCATTAATTCCACATATGAGTGAAATCATACGGTACTTGTCTTTGTCTCACTGGCTTTTTTCACTTAGCCTTGTAGTATCAACAAATTCGTTCTTTCTTTCTTTTTCTTTCTTTCTTTCTTTCTTTCTTTTTTTTCTTTCTCTCTTTCTTTCTCTCTTTCTTTTTCTCTCTTTCTTTCTCTCTTTCTTTCTCTCTTTCTCTTTCGTCTTTCTTTCTCTCTTTCTCTCTTTCTCTCTTTCTCTCTTTCTTTCTTTCTTTCTTTCTTTCTTTCTTTCTTTCTTCTTTCTTTCTTTCTTTTTCTCTTTTTCTTTCTAGAAGTATTTATTTATTTATTTATTATGTTTAATTTATCTTTACTGTTGAAAGTATTACAAAAGTCCCTCCTTTTCCGCATTTATCCCCTCCACCCTGCATCCCCCTCTTCTCCAGGCCTTTACCACACTATTGTCTGTGTCCATGGTTTATGCATATATGCATATAAGCTCTTAGGTTAATGTCTCCCCACCCACCCAACCACACCTGCCTTTCTTCTTAGAGTCCTCAATCTGTTCCATGTTTCTGTGTCTCTGGATCTGTTTTGTTCATCAGTTTATTTTATTCATTAGATTCCAAAAATTAGTAAGATCATGTGATACTTATCTTTCTCTGACTGGCTTATTTTGCTTAGCATAATGCTCTCCAGGTCCCACCATGCTGTCTCAAAGGGTAAGGGATCCCCCATTTTTACAGCTCCATAGTATTCCAGGGTTTAAATGTCTGAGAAGATGCTTGATATGATTTCAATCTTCTTGAACTTGTAGAGACTTGTTCTTTGTCTTAACATGTGGTATATCTTTGAGAATATCCCATGTGCACTTGAGGAGAATATATATTCTGCAGCTTTGGGGTGAAATGTCCTATAAAAGTCATTTAAACCCATCTGATCTAGTGTGTAATTTAGAGTCACTCTTTCCTTGTTGATTTTTTGTCTGGAAGATCTATCCACTAAAGTCATTGGGGTGTTAAATTCCCCTAGTATGACTATATTGCTGTCAATCTCTCCCTTAAAATCCTCTAGAAGTTTTTCTTTTCTTTTCAGCCTGTGTGAGTCTTTTGTTTTGAGGTAGGGCTCCTGTTGACTGCATGTATTTGGTTTTTGTTTTCATATCCATTCAGCTACCCTGTGTCTTTTGAATATAAAAATCCATTAATATTTAAGGTTATTATTGGTAGGTACTTATCTATTGCCATTTTATTTCTTTATGCCTATATTTCTCATTCTCTCTATTCCAACTTCTTATTACAACAATCCCTTTAACATTTCTTACAATGCTGATTGGGTTGTGATTAACTCCTTTAGCCTTTTTTTTTTCTGGGGAGCTCTTTATATCACCGTCTATTCTGATTGATAGCCTTGCTGGATAGAGTAGTCTTGCTTTCAGATCCTTGCTTTACATTACCTTGAATACTTGATGACATTCCCTTCTGGCCTGTAGAGTTTCTGATGAGAAATCCACTGACAACCTTATGGGAGCTCCTTTGTAGGTAACAGATTGCTTTTCTCTTGCTGCCTTTAAGATTCACTGTTTGTCTTGAATTTTTGGCATATTAATTATGATGTGTCTGGGCATGTGCCTCTTTGGGTTCTTCTTGCTTGGGATTCTCTATGCCTCCTGAATTTGTGTGACTTTTTTCTTCACCGGGTTATGGATGTTTTCTGCCATTATTTCTTCAAACAGGTTCTCTAACCCTTGCTTACCTTTGACCTCTTCTGGCACTACTATGATGGAAATATTGTTATGTTTCATGTTGTCCCACAGCTCCCTTAAACGGTCCTCCTGTTTTTTAATTGTGTTTTCTTTTTGGTTCTCTGATTGAATGGGTTTTTGTACCGTGTCTTCTAATTTGCTGAAGTGATCCTCAGCTTCCCCTAATCAACTGTTTATTCCTTCCAGTGTTTACTTTTATTTCTATGTCATTTTTAATTTCCTTCATAGTTTCCATTTCTTTTCTCGTGCTGTTGAGCATCCTTATGATCAGCATTCTGAACTCCGTATCTGATAGGTTGCTTATCTCCATTTCAGTTAGCTCTTTTTCTGGAGACTTC